CTCCCCCGGCCGGCCGGCCGGCCGGGCCTCACCCATCTCCTCTGGGCTCAGGCACTGGCGCTGCGCTGGGCTGTACTCGGCCGGGGGCGTGCAGGCGCAGCGGTAGCCCCCGCGCGTGTTCTCACACACTCCGTTCCGGCAGTTGGATTCATCCAGGCACTCGTCCACGTCTGCGGGAGGAGGAGAAGCGCGGATGGCAGGGGCCGGTCTGGGGGTGGAGGGGCGCCTCCTCCCCGCCCCCGGCCACTCGGGCCGGCCACTCACCCACGCACTCCAGCAGGTTCCCGTCGTAGTAGAAGCCCTGCTTGCAGTAGCACTCGTAGCCGGGCTGCGTGTTCACGCACTTGCCCTCCTTGCAGATCTCCGCCCCGAACAACATGCACTCATCTATGTCTGTGGGAGAACGCGCCGTCGACGCTCGGGCCTTCTACCGACCTGGCCCGAGCGCCGCCGGGGACGTGGGTGGGGCTTACTGCAGGGGCCGACCGCACTCAGTGGTAGGGGCTTTCCGGACGATGACGTACAGTGACGGGGCGGGGCGAACCCCAGGGCCCGAGCTGACCGAGCCAGCAAGAGCCGGGTCGGGGCGGTCCACACCTCGGTGGGCGGGGCAGCGCAGGGGCTTACCGCGGTGGGCTGGGATGCCGTAGTTAACGATGTTGTTGTCCTGGGTGTAGCCCTTCCCGTCCGGGCAGAGGCTGTGGAACTCGGCTGCGGGGAGAGAGCGGCGGTGGGGAGGGAAAGAGGCAGGACGAGCGCGCGTGCTGAGCGTCCAGCTCAGGCTGGCACTGTCCACCTGATTTCCAACTACCCAGGGAGGTGCCATTTCCCCCATTCTCCGTTTCCAGGGGAAGCAGGCTCTGGGAAGGGAAGGGGCCTGCCGGCCTCCTGACCTGAGCTGTAGACTGGGCAGGGGTAGATCTCGCAGTGGTCCCCCCAGCCGGCCCCCAGGGAGCAGCAACACTCCTGCTGGGTGATGTTGGTGGCCAATACGCTGTCGCAGAACACCGTGTCATCGAAGTTAAGGTAGCATTCCTTCTTGTGGTGGGGCTGCTCTACCTCTGCTCGGGGAGAGGGCAGCTCAGGGCCAGGCAGGCAGACTGCCGTTTTCCCCGCCCGTCCACCACAGCCCTCTGCTACCCCCTTCCCGAGCTCCCCTCAGGCGCCCTGTGAGAGCCAGCCTCCTCAACGTGCCATTCAGGGCCCTGCAAGGTCTGGCCCCGCCAGACTCCCTGGAGCAAAAGCAATTTCTTCCTGTTCCTCAGATTCCAAACGGTGGGACCAGGTGTGATCTATCTACCCCCACCCCTGCGTGCAAGGGAGATGTCTGGTGTGGAGAGGGGCCTGGAGAGCACTCACCCTCACAGCCGTGCTGGTCCTGGGTGGGCGTGAAGCCCTCGTCGCAGACACACACATAGGAGCCCTGCAGGTTCTCACAGGCCCCGTGGGGAAGGCACAGGCCCCGGTCCTGGCTGCACTCATCTATGTCTGCGGGGAGTGGGGAGCCAGAAGCAGGGGCAGGAGCCACTGATAAGGAAACGCAGCCTCTCTGTCCCTGGGGGTGTGCCCCAGTGCCTCCCACAAGTTTAGAACCCAAATTTCCACTTTGATTTCAAAGTACACACAACAGGAAGTCCCCTGGTGTGTGTCTGTGGGTGTAATGTACGTATATTTGCTGCTATCATTCTGCTTAAAACCTTCAGTGGCCCCCACTGACAACCCCCCAGCACTATGCTCAGGGCACAGGTGTCTACTCTCCCCTAAAAACACAACTGGCTCCCTCCAGACCTCTGTGCTTTGCATGTACTGTTCTCGGTTTGGAATACCATTCCATGCATTTCTCTGCCAAGGGAACCCCTTCAAGTCCCAGTCCAACTGTCACCTCTCCTTTGCAATTAATCCTAGTCCAGCCTTCTGTCAGGACCCAGCACTGTGAACTGTGAGAATCGGTTACCATTTCAGCCTCCCCCAGCCGGGAGCCCTGGATCATTGTCTAATCCCTAGTACTTGGGAGGTACTCAGTAAACATTGGATGAATGCACATACGGGTCAGTTGATGGGGACGACGAACGAATTAATACCTGTAAAGAGCTCAGCACAGTGCCTGGCACACAGTAATACCATGTAAGTGTTAAGTATCGTTATTCCCGTTAATCACTGTTACTCCAGGTGAAAGAGTGGAAGAAGTGGCTGGATGTGGATGGAATGACAGGTCACACCAACAGTGTGCCTGGGTGTTTATTGCTCCCCGCCACGCCCCCTCCTGGGCCCTCCAGCCACCCCCCCCATACCTTGGCACTTCCTGCCGCCCACCAGCCGGTGCCCCTGGGGGCAGAGACATCTGTAGGAACCATTGGTGTTGATGCAGTCACCCCCAATGCAGGTTGCAGGGAAATCACACTCATCAATATCTGGCGAGGGGATTGAGGGGGTAGGCATTCTCAGGGGCTGACTCCCCTCCACACACACACACAGCCTGAAACTGTCAAAGTGTTCCCAGAGTCCCACACTCCCATTACCCCATCTTAAGTCTAGATGGGGGCTGGACCTGGTAGTGCCTGGCTTGTCCAAGGTGGCCCCTGGTCTCAGGGCTTGGGCAGCAGGGGTGCTGGGGAGGGAGGGACAGGACAGCCCCCCTCCCAGGCCTCACCTTCACAGCGGCTCCGGTCCCTTGATAGGTGGTAGCCAGAGAGGCACTGACACTGGAAGGAGCCTGGTGTGTTGGTGCAGATGCCATTGTCGCACACATCCCCAGCCTCACACTCGTCCACATCTGCAGGGCAGGGAGGTGTCAGAGGGTCAGGCTGGAGGTGGTCTTGGGCCCCTGCTACCCCATAGCCTGGAGCACCAGAGCTGAGGCCAGCAGAGCTAAGAGAAGCATGAGCAGGAGGTGATGAGGCCAGGTGCGGCCAGGTTGAGGCTAAAGAGCTCTGGCCATTCAGGATGCTTGCCCTACCCGCATTACCCACCTTCACCAGTCAGGAGACCCCCTCTCTCATCCTCTGTTTCCATACTGTCCTGGCTTTCCTTGAACCTCACTTCTGGGCCCCTGCCCCTCACCTGCCACGGCTCCCTTCTTTCTGTGTAGATAAGCTCCCCCTATCTCTTTGCCTTTCCCGCAGAACAATTTCTCCCACTCACATCGTAAAGGAACCTGAGGACAAGCTTCACTGCAACCCTCTCAGAAGCTGGTTGTTGTCCACACCTAGACTCCTCCCACCCTCTTTACTGTGTCAGCGCCCATCAGATAAACTCCCTCTCCAGGAGTTTTCAACCTCCACGTAGACAACCAGGCCCAGCCTCTGGCCTCACTTCCCTTGACCCCTCAGTTTTCGGGACCCTCACCTCAGTGTTAACCACTCTCTCTCAGGAGCAGAGGGGGCTTTTCCTCACTGGACCTGCCCCACCTTGGAAAGCTCAGTGGCTGCTTCCCGAGGCCCCTGCAGTTCTCCACAGGTCTCTGCTCCACCTTCTCCCCCAGGGTCTGGTAGCCTCCCTCTCAGACTTCTGAGCTGCCCCTGAGGCCCCGGACTCTGACGGCTCCTGCCTGACCCCCTTCTCTCCACAGCCTGAACCCCAGGACTCTTCAGTGGATGACGGTCTATCACTCCTGAGACCATGAACAGGAAGAAACTTTCTTAAACCATCGTGAATTTTCTCATTCCTCCCCTTAAAATGCTTTAGGATGAAACTCAACCTGCCTCTCAGCCCTAATCCCCTGCTCAGACCTTACAGTTCCCTGGACACTCCGTCCTGTTTCTCACCTGAGTCTTTGCCTGTGCTGAGCCCTCTGCTTACATGCTGTTCCCTCTCATCCTTCTTTGCTTGGCTAATTTCTCTTGATTCTTTAAGAGACTCAGGCCGCCTCCTCCCGAAACCGCTGGTGTTCCTGGGAGCGTTCCAGCTCCATCCACGTCCACACCCCTGCGCTTTACAGCGTGTCTAAGGTTCCCCAGTTTCTCTGAATCTCTGCCTTCAGCCCCTCTCTTGGTGCATAATAAATATTAATGCAGGTGTGCGTGTGGCTATCAACGCCCCCCCCCCCATTCTTCGATATCAATTTTTTTCCTTCAAATTTAGGTAACGTGCTTTGTAAATGTGGCTTCAAGTCTAGCCTCATAAGACCCTGTGTGGAAACTAGCGGCCCTTCCTCGGTGAGGTGCGTCCAAAGAACAACTGATCAATCAACCAGGGTATGAGTTAGTCACTTCCCCACCCACCCGTTGTACAGACAGGGTGACCCCGTCCCGGCGTTGGCGCGGGAGCGGGTGGCTGGATAGGGTGCAGGGCTGAGGCTCACCCAGGCAGCTGCGGCCGTCCGGCGCCGGCGCGTAGCCTTGGGCGCACGTGCAGCGGAAGGAGCCCGGGAGGTTCTCACACCAGCCTGGCGCGCAGGGGTTGCCCTCGGCGCACTCGTTCACGTCTGCGGCGGCGAAGATTCGCCTCGAACTCCGACCCCGCGCCGTGGTGGGGGCCTCCACTCCCGGCAGGCTCCACTCGTGGGCTCCTCCACCCCCTTCGCAGGCGGCCAGGGCCCCACCGCCCCGCAACCCTGCAGCAGACCCCGCCCATTGGCCTCTGAGGCCCCGCCTTCCACCCTGACCCAGGCCCAACTCTCACCGCGGCAGGCCCCGCCCCCCTGGCTGCGGTAGCCGGGCTGACAGGCGATGCACTTGAAGCTCCCGGGTTTGTTCTCGCATTTGCCATCCGGGCAGGAGCTAGGGTCCCGGCACTCGTCGATGTCTGCACAGAAGGGAGAAGGAAAAGGACCCGTGTGGGGACCACGGGACCGACAGGGTCCTCGGCAAGGTTTCCCTTCGTTAGATGAACAAGGGAACCGACCCTCCAGGCTCCCCGACCCCAACCTCTGAGAGGTCTAATTGGGCAGAGACAGGAGTCCAGGCCCTCGGCCCCAGCCCAAGTCGAGAGCCCGCGAGGGCCACTCCCTTCGCCCTGAACGGGGTCTCCCCACCTTCGCATACAGGCGGTCGGGAAGCCTTGAGCCGGTAGCCGGGGAAGCAGTTGCACTTGTAGTGCCCGGGGAAGTTGATGCAGAAGCCGCCATCTCCGCACAGGTGGGGCTTAGCGCACTCGTTCAGGTCTGAGCGGGAGGAAGAAGCGCGAAGGGGTGCGCGGCAGGCGGAGGGAGAGCCCGCCGTGTCCAGCTAGCCCAGTGCCGCCCCCGCCCGGCCACGCCCCCGCGCTTACCCACGCACGAGCGGCCCCCGGCGCCGACGTGCAGGCGGTAGCCGCGGTTGCAGTGGCAGTTGTAGGAACCTCCAGTGTTCATGCAGATGCCCCGCCCCGCGCCGCACGGCTCCGCCTCGCACTCGTTCACGTCTGAGGGGGGACCAGCGGGCGGGAAGACGTCAGGGGGTTGTCGGGCTCAGGGCTGCCCCCGGGACCACCCGTCCGGCTGCACGCCCCGCGCTCACCCACGCAGTAGCGGTGCTGCGGGTGCGACCGGTAGCCTGGGTTGCAGTGGCAGGAGTAGTCGGAGGGGCCCGGGACGCACTCGCCGTGGCCACAGATGTTCTGGTTCAGGCGACACTCGTCCGTCTCTGCAGGCGGGGGCCAAGTGAGGAGCCGGGCAGGTAGCGCTCACCCTCTGCCGCGTCCCTAGGCAGGGACCTCGACATCCCATTCCTAATGATCCCAATACCTGAGCCTGGTCACATCCTGACCTCAGGTCCCTGCACCGCCATATTCCAGCCCAGATTCCAATTCCACGACTCCAGATAGCCCCAAATCAGGACCCAAGGTCCCTCACATCCCTACCTCCTTAACCCCAGGACCCTTGATACTTCCATCCCCACTCACTTCAAGACCCTGGCCCCAGTCACCCCAAACCCCATCACACCTCCGTCCCCTCGGGGCCTCTCAGTCATCTCAATACCCCTACCCCAAACCAAAAACCAAACGTGCTGCAGTCGAGTTCAACTCACAGTCGACCCTGCAGGACAAAGCCGAAATGCCCCACAGGGTTGCCAAGGCTGTAAATCTTTAGGGAAACAGACTGCTACAGAGCAGGTGGTGGGTTCCAACCTGCAACCTTTCGGTTAGCAGCCGAGCACTCAACTACTACGCCAGCAGGGCTCCTTATCTCTACCCCAGAGACTCTGAAACCCCCTTCTTCCCAGTCACCTCATACCCTAAACCCTGTAGCCTCAGTCACACCAATATCTTCTACCCCAGTGACCCCAACAGCCCTTGCCCCAGAACCTTAGCCGCCAATGCCAAAATGGTTGATTGCCGCCTCACCCCAAGACAGGTGGGGGCTGGTTTCCTGGGGAATCCTGGCTTGCCCCAGGGCTGTGCACAGGCAGTCAGATCCAGGGACTTCTCACCCTGTCACCAGTCCCAGGATTTCCTGCCTTCTACCTCTCTCTCCTCTTGGTCCCCACTGCCCACCAGCCTCTTCTCTAGTCCCTTTCACCCATGTATCCAGGCTGTGATGCTGAGCTCTGCGCTGCCCCAAACCCATCTGCCCAGTGGGCTCTCTGCAGGCTGTTCCTCTACCTGAAATGCCTCTCTCCAACCTCTCCCCTAGGCCTCCTTAATGCTCCCTTCCCTGAGCCTCCCCATGTACCCCTTCCTCCACAATCGTCAGACCCCAGAGCTGTCACTGGGCTGTCGCAGACTATGCAGGCCTCCAAGGCAGTCACCTTCCAGTCCTGCCCTCACTCCAGGAGCTCATCATAGCCCAGGGGTTCAGTGAGGCTGGTGGTTCCCTTGTGGTTTGGAAGTCCACACAGATCTGGGTGTGAATCTGGCCCTAGGGCAAATTACTGAACCTCTCTGAGCCTCAGCTTTCTCACCTGGAAAATGAGGCTTAGCCGTGGCCACTTCACAGAGTGCGAGAAGGTGAAATGATATTTAGTATGTAAAGCTCTTAAAAGACAGTGCCTGGTACACAGGAATTACTCAGTCGGAGCTAGCAATTATTATGATGCCCAAACCCTGCAGGCATTTCCCACAGCCTCCAGGATCAAATCCAAGCCTCTTAACAAGGCTCCCCATGGGCTGGCCCTTCCCTTGTTCAGAAAAACTGATCTGTGTGGTTTCGCCCTCCTCCACCAGTGTTTCATGCCTCCATGCCTATGACCAGATGAAACTTCACTTGGAATGTCCTTTCTCCCAACCTACACACCCCATTCCTTCCCTGTTGACAGGGGCCGTCGAGTGGTCCCGACTCATAGCACCCATGAACAACAGAATGAAACACTGCCCGGTCCTGCGCCATCCTCACATCATTGCTACGTTTGAGCCCATTGTTGCAGCCACTGTGTCGATTCATCCTGCTGAGGGTCTTCCTCTTTTTCACTGACCCTCTACTTTACCAAGCATGATGTCCTTCTCCAGGGACTGGTCCCTCCTGTAACGTGTCCAATGTACGTGAGACGAAGTCTTGCTATCCTCGCTTCCAAGGAGCACTCTGCTTGTACTTTTTTCAAGACAGACTTGTTTGTTCTCCTGGCAATTCATGGTATATTCAGTAATCTTTGCCCACACCATAATTCAAAGGTGTCAGTTCTTCCGGGTCTTCCTTATTCATTGTCCAGCATTCTCATGCATATAAGGCGACTGGAAATACCAGGGCTTGGGTCACGCACACCCATCTTTGCTTTTTAACACTCTAAAGAGGTCTTTTGCAGCAGATGTGCCCGATACAATCTGTCGTTTGATTTCTTGACTGCTGCTTCCAGGGGTGTTGATTGTGGATCCAAGTAAAATGAAATCCTTGACAACTTCCATCTTTTCTCCATTTATCATGATATTGCTTATTGGTCCAGTTGTGAGGATTTTTCTTTTTTTTATGTTGAGGTGTGATCTGTACTGAAGGCTGTGGTCTTTGATCTTCATCAGTACTTACCTACTTTCTCTTTAATCTTTAACAATCTTTAAAACCCTGCCCAGAAAGCCTTCTCTCATATTATCACAACCCCAGTCGTCCTTCCCTCTTTATTTTTTTCATAGCGTTTATAAGACAGGCCAGATATTTACTTATTGATGTGTTGTTTGTCTGCTCCACAAAGACAACATCTTTTTGTCTCTTTTGTTCATTGCAGTATCACCAGAACCTAACCAGTGCCTGGCAAGTTGTTGTTGTTGGTAGTTGCTGACAAATTGATTCTGACTCATGGCAATCCCATATGTGCAGAGTAGAACTGCTCCATGGGGTTTTCTTGGCTATAATCTTTACACAAGCAGATCACCAGGCCTTTCTTCCACAGTGCCTCTGGGTGGGTCTGAACCACCAACTTTTAGGTTAGTAATAAAGGCTGAACCTTTTGCTCTACCCAGAAACCGACCCCACAGTGTTGTTAGTTGCCATCAAGTTGATTGCGACTCATGAAGACCCCATGTGTGCAGCGTAGAACTGCTCCGTAAGATTGTCAAGGCTGGGCGTTTTGGAAGCAGATCGACAGGCTTTGCTTCCGAGCTGCCTTTAGAGGGGGGGTTTGAACTGCCAACGTTTCATTAGTAGTACTGTGCTTAACCATTTGCTGCACCCAGGGACCCAACCCCACGGTAGACTCTGCATGTTAGCGCTGTTGCCAACAGCCTGTTACAAAAAAACCAAACCAAACCCCCTGCCCTCCAGTAGATTCTGACTCATAGTGACCCTATAGGACAGAATAGAACTCCCCATAGGGTCTACCAAGGAGCGGCTGGTGGATTTGAACTGTCGACCATTTGGTTAGGAGACGAGCTCTTAACCACTGCACCACCAGGACTCCAACAGCCTGTTAGTACACTGGAATGACTAGGGAGGAGGGAAAGACGAAAGAACGAAGCTTGGGGGCGTGGCCTGACCAGGGCGTGGCCTCACTGGGCGGGCCTTACCTGTGACCTGCGTGGGGGCAATCTCCACGGCACTGCGCGACGTGGGCAAATCCGGCAGGAACAAGCGCATGGTGGGCGGAGAGGGGCGGGAGATCAGCTCTGCAAACAGCAGCACAGCCCGTCACCGGGTGAGGGGGTGGGCCGGCTGCCCCGCTCCCAGCAGGCCCTCCGTGGGAACATCACCTCCCAGCTCTACTGCCTCCCAGCGCCTTGCTTGTGAAGCGAACCACCCCTCCCTCTCCCCCCGCCCCGCGCAGTGACTCGTCCCTGCAGTGCCCAGCTCACCAGGGTAGGGCCGGGCAGGAGCTGTGGTGGCGGTCGGGTGGCTCTGCTGTGCTGACCGCTCCTCAATCACTGGCTGCGGGTGACAGCGGCCTGAGTCCTGTGGCTCCCTCGCCTTCCCGCCCCTCCCGCCTGGGCCCGAATACTCACTGAATCCGTAGTCACCCCTAAAAGGGAAGAAGATGGGGCTGAAAGTACTGGGCTAGGGAAGGGAGTCAGGTCTGGGATCAGCAGTTGGGCATCTGTGGTTAGGGTCTCCAAGAGTCCAGTGATCAGCTCTCTGGGTCAAGAGTTAGGGGTTAGATCCGGGGCTCAAGGAGTGTCTGCATCAGGGATCAGGAGACCAGATCTGGGGAATTCCACAATGGGGCAACGTCCTTAGGTTATGGGTAAAAGGTGAGAAGGTTCTAGCCCAAGGTTAAATCCCTGGGTCAAGGGTCAGAGGATCAGGTCTGGGGGCAGCATTTAGGCTGGATCCATGGATCGAAGGGATCAAGAAATCTGGAGGGCAGTGGATGAGTCAGGGGTTAGGAGTTGGGGGTTAGACTCTGAGGTTGTAGCTGTGGATCAGGGGTCAAGGGGTCAGGGAATGGAAGGGGTCAGTCCAGACCTCTTTCTTCCTCAGTGTCCTCGGGGGGTGGTGCCCGGCTGGGGCTCTCAGGCAGCTGCTGGGGCTTGGGCGGCCCATCGGGGTGCAGGAAGAGGGAAAAATCACTTTCACCCTGAATGGTGAGCGTCTGGTGAGAGGTGAGGATGTGGTACCCCTTCCCAGCAGGGCAGATCTCCTTGAAGGCAGCTGTACCAGGGCAAAGGATACAGAGTGAGTGTTCCTGGACAGGTACCCGGACAGCCCCCGGCCCACCTGCCCCAGGCTCACCAGTGCCATCAGCCGGGCAGCGCTGGCACCGCGTGCCCCAGGCCTTGCCGACGCTGCAGCAGCAGAGCTGGCGGGTGAGGCGTGTGGTCAGCGGGTGCTGGCACTGGTGCTCAGGGCTCACCAGGCGGAAACACAGGCTCTTCTCCTCCGGCTTGTCCACTGTGGGGGCGGGCATGGGCATCTGGGCCTGAACACGGCCCCTGTCCCTCTGCCCAGCTGTTCCAGGCCTTGCTCCTCTGGCTCAGACAATCTCTGAACCTGTGTGACCCCCTGAACTTGTTACCCTGACCTCAAGTAACCTCTGAAACCTATGTGGCCACTGACCCTAGCTGCTCTAAGCTTCATCTCTATTACCCATTCAGCTCCTAACCTCATGTGACCCTTTAACCCCATGTGACCCCTGATCCCACTACCCTAGACTTCACTCTTTCTACTCATCAAGCCCATGATCTTATCTGATTGCATATAGTCCCTGACCCCATGAAACCTCTAACCCCAGGTCACATGTGATCCCTGACCCCACTGACCTACCCACATGATCCTACCTGCTCTGGGCCTTGCTCCTTCTTTGACCCCACCCTGACCTCTTGTGGACGCTGATCCTGGCTGCTCAGAGCCTTACCCCTCCCACGCAGGCCCCTGACCTCCCAGGGAGCTGGCCCCCAGGCTCACCAATGCACTGCGTGCGTGAGGGGCCCAAGCTATGGCCAGGAGGGCAGACACAGCGATAGGAGCCAGGGTTGTTGAGGCAGTCCCCATGGCGACACATACCAGGCATTGTGCATTCGTTGATGTCTGTGGTGAGCAGGAGTTTGGTCCCTCTAGGCTGGGGCCATGGGGTGACATTAAGCTGCTCCAAGGACCCCAGGAGCCCCAGCCCTGCCTCCTCCCTGTGCCCACCTTGGGGCCTCCCGTAGTGAAAGCGGCCTGCCCCTCCAGCCCGTACAGGGCGGTGCCATACCCTGACAGTGGGTGCTGTTGAGTCTCTTGTAGCCCTGGGGGCAGTCAGCGCCCACCTCCCCACGCACAGGACCCGGTTTCTGCACCCCTGTGTCTGCAGAGAAAGGAGAGCATGGCAGGGGGGAGTCGGGGGGTGGGGCCTGCGGGGCAGGAGGGCTCTGGGGGAGGGGCAGTGTGGTATGAAGAAGAGTCCCGTGAGCAGTGAGAGGGCTCAGACTACTCTGGGTTGGGGTTCCCGCTGCAGGGCGCTGGGGTGCGGGTACGTTCGCCCTGCAGCGGGGATACCCCGCTGAGCCTGCACTCACACTGCAGCTGGGGGCATTTGTGGCACTTGCTCTGGCCCCAGGCGGTCCCGATGCTCCCGCAGCAGTCTTCCTGCTTGGTGAGGCCGGGGAGGGGGTTGCTGCCGCACTGGGGGAGGGGCAAGGAGAGCAGTCACAGGGTGCCCTGCCCCCACCTGGCCTCCCTCCTGAGGTCCCTCCTCACCTCCCCAGCCTGTGGGTGGGGAATGGGGTGCCCTGGGCCCTCAGTTTTGAGCAATCCCCAAGAACTGAATTTTGAGCAGTCAGGGCAACGTGAGAGACAAGGGCCGGTCCAACCGGGGCTGTTGGGTCACTCACGGGCTGCTTGGGCAGCGTGTCCTGGAAGCATCGTCCCAGGGGCTTCTGGGTGGGTGGCCGTGGGTGCGAGGGCTTGGGGTGCGGTAGCAGGTGCTGCGCAGGGGCAGGACCCTCGGCGTTCAGCCCCTCAATGCGGTGTACCTGCACGGAGGCCTCGGGCGGGTGGTGCACGCGCACGTTCACCACAGGGGGTGGGGCCTGCACTGGGGGCGGGGCAGACGGCCTCATGGATGCCCCGTCCCCGGGTCGCCGACCCCGCCCACCTCGGCCCCCCGGCGTCGGCCCGTGCCTTGGTACCTTCGGCTGAGATCTGGCCCGGCCCGAGGGGCACCAGGAAGGCCGCGTGCTGGGCAGGGGGCCCCTCCCCGGGCCCGGGCGGGTCGGCGATCACCTGGACGGCGTAGATGGCGTGCTTGCTGGCCACAGAGTCGCCCTCCGGTGCCAGGGGTGGCAGCGCGCCGGTGGACAGGGCCCCGGCCCGGCCCAGCCCGGGGCCTGAGCCGCCAGCGCCCCCGCCAGCCCCGCCGGCGGGCACCTGACAGAAGCGCCCCGTGAAGTCCGGGGGACACAGGCACTGGTTTCGGGAGGAGCACTGGCCGCCATTCATGCAGGGCAGAGGGCACACCACTGGGGAGGAGGGAGGGGAAGCGGATCAGCGCCGGCCCAGCCCCTCACCCACATCCTGCCTCTCCCTCCTCCTCCCTACTTCCTCGCCACCCACTGGGTTTATCCCCCCTGGGAAGCTGGTTTTTGTGACATATCCCTCTCATTGTGTGGAAACCGCCTTTCGAGGGTCCCCCAACATCCTCATACCCGCAGCGTGTTGGGTTCTGGAGTCTGTTGGACTTGACCCTGAGCAGTATTTCCCCTCCCTGGGCCTAAGTTTCTCATCGCAGGGCTATTTGCGTATTAAGTGAGGTAATGCCTACTAGCAGAAGGTGCTGCATAAATGGTAGCAAATGATGACGAGAACGGAGAAACAGCCTTTCCCTCCCTGGCTCTCCCCTGGAGTCTTTCCTGGGTCTCCCACCTCACCCTGGAGCCTCCTATTCTCCCTAAAGGAATTCTCCCCCGATTGAGGCCTCACCCCTTCTCTGCTCTCCCTCTCCCTTGGATCTGCCATCCCAGGGCCCATACATCCCCACTGACTATCATGCCCACACCTCCAGCTCCAGCCTCCCACTCCTCCAGGACCTCTCCTGGGCAACTCCACCCAGGGGACAGTCTCAGAAGTCAGTATCCTGTCCCCACCCCCTCCTGACCTCCAACCACCACTGAGGCACCCCAGCCTGCCCAGTCATCCAAACTGAACCTTGAGGCTCCATCTCTCCTGCTCCCAGCCTCTGTAATTCCCACGAATCCATCTCCCTTCCTCCTCTTGCCCTCTGCCCTGCCCTGACTCAGGCCTTGCCACCCAGACCCCTGGCTGGCCTGCCTCTCCTGCCTGTCCACTCTCCCAGTACCCCCAGAGAAACCTGCCTTGGGCAAAGCTCTCACAGAGTCACCCTGCTCCCTGCTTGCCTCGTTGCCTCAGCATTCAAGGCTCTCCCTGGCCCAGCACCAACCTTCCTTTCAGCCCTATCCCCTTCTGCTCCTTCCTTGTGCACCCCATGCCCCGGGCAAGTTGGACTCTTCTCCTTCCTCCACCAAATGTCATATCTTCTGCCTCCACGGCTTTGTTCATGTCAGTCTCTCCATCTCCGAGCCCTGTTCCCCATCTCCATATGTTCAGATCTTACCCTTCCGGGAGAGGAGCCTTTCCTCATGTCCTATCCATCCCTGCTCCCTCTCCTGAGGTGCTGTCCCCTATCCCCAGCTCTGCCTGGCACCTGGCTTGGTTATAGCCATGTCTGTCTCCCCCACCAAGAAGGGTGATTTGGAGGGCAGGGCCGGGCCTACCTCAGCTCTGGGTCCTGGAGGAGGTGCAGGGAGAATGAATGAAAGAATGCGTGAGTGAGTGGATGCTACACTCACAGATATGTACATGGGATCTCTATCTGTCTCTCTGTCACACACACTCACATGGGACATATGCTTCCAGCCTTGGGGCCCTGAGCTGATGGACCAGCCCTAGCCCTCTCCTGCCTGCCCCATGGCTGCGGGAAGCCGGGGGTGCTGCCGTCTGGGACAAGAGCTAAGACAAGAGCTAAGACTAGAGCTTTCCTGGCTAAGAGCATCCCAACCCAGCCCAGCCTATCCTGCCTGGCCTCACGGGCCCAGGCCTCCCAGGACAGGAGGGGTGTGTCCTGGGCTAGGAGAGTCAGGATCCTCTCCTTCCTGCCTCCCAGTGAGTCACTCATAGCGGTAAGGATGACCTCCCAGCGACCCCGCCCGCTGTGGCCTGGGCACCGAGCCTGGGGGATGTGGGCAGCCTGGGCAGGATGGCCGGGGGCCTGGGAGGCCGTGCACATGGACACTCACACACACAGTCATGCTATCGCTCTGATACCAGCATAGGCTCACATAAGCACTCCCATAAACTCGCTGACAGGGACTGGAGGCACCCACCCAAGACAACAGCACAAAGAAACATGTACTTAATCACAGTGGACCACTGCAAAGCCCATGCATGCCCGTGTGCGTGCCATGCAGACACACACATCATCATCATCATCATCTCATGAGAACTGTGAACACCTGAGTGTTCCAGGCGTGTGAGCCGGTCTGCGAGCATGGGAATGTGTAAGGGGGCTGTTTTGCTGGTGCCATCCCAGGCCCAGCCTAATTACCCTGTCCAGGGAGGTAATTACAACTGGGACACCTCCCCCAGCCTGGGCCCACAGCTGGGAATTACTGGCAGGGCCCTGGGGGAGGAGAGCTGAGCCCCGGGCCTGGCCCTTTGAAGAGAGATGCTGGGGAAAGGATGGGCTCCAGGCTGAATTAGAGAGGCCCGGAGGGACTGGAGGGCCCCTGGGGCAGACAGCGGTTCCAGGCTTATAGGAGGAGACATCGGTGGGGCACCAGGAAAAGGAGAGACTGAGGACCCAAACCAGTCTCCACCTTCAGTCCTGCATCCCACTTCTTAGGCCTTAACATCCCTCCTATCCCTGACCTTGCCAGTAGCGCCCTCGCCCCCCCAGCCCTGACCTCAGCCCCTCCTCCCAGAAACACAGGTGTCTACTTCTGACAGGCCCTACTTTAGATCTTTAAAAAAACATTTCCTGTTTCCTTCCAGCAAGTCGTTTTTTGGGGGAATATTTACCCCTTCTCTAAATCAGATGTGCCAACCCTAGCTCACATCCTTCAAAACCCCTCTTCTGGCCCCAGTTCCCTCTCAGAACGCAGCACCTTCCAGAAGCCTATGGCATCCAGGACAGCAGCATTACCCCCACACCCTGGACCCTAGCCCTAACTCCGAATGTGAAGTCCAGGCGGCCATGCAGCCCCCCTGAACTCTGGCCCTGGGACCCTAGCCCCCTGTCTCTGCTCTCCGGAGCCCAGCCTCCATTCTCATATGCCCAAGACTCTGCCAGGCGTCCCGCCATTGTCCTGGTGCCTGTCCTCCCCCCAGCCGGTGCCCGCTGGCCCTCACCCACGCGGAAGCCGGAGCCCGTGAGTGTGTCGGTGCTGTGGCCGTTCTCTCCGATGAGCGTCATGTTGGAGCCCTGTTGACAACTGTCCCGACACTGGCCCTTGAGGCAGGTCCGCTTGCAGATCACGGGCGCAAAGACC